GGTCAGTTTACATATTTGTCTATTATTATGTAAGATGTTAAAGTAAATACTTAGATTTAAGACCAGTTGAGATAACTTTTACATAAAATAGAACACAAGTATTTGTCACACCACAGAAAGCCTGGCCATCCGGCACTGCAGCAGACAAGTCAATCAAAAAGGGTGAAAAATATTCTCCATTCAGGCAAATCGGTGATCAAAGCTTGTTACCCTTAGGGATTATGAGGGACATCATTCAAGTGGCAAAGCATCATTCAAGTGGACTTCACTTTACCCTGAACAAAATCAGAAGGAAGTTGTATTCACCATCAGCTGCATTGTAATGTTCATCTGAGGCAGTTCCTACACTTTATAATTTCATCTGACAACCTGTAATTATGCCTTTTGGAAAATGTGATTTTTTTTCTGAACTATTTGAAGGAAAATTTAAACATTCTTTTGTCCTGTTTCTAATATCCATGTGAAAATGTGACTCATTTCCTTGTTTGATAATTAGTATCTAAGATATGGGCACTAAAATTCCTGAGCAGGTAGAACAATTAGAATAATTTCTAGTAGTGGGTAATTTTTTTTTTTTTTTTTTTTTTTTTTTTTTTTTTTTTTTGCCTATAATCATTGTTGCCAGATAGTTTCCCAGAGGCTGGCTACAGAGGCAGCAGAATGTGTGAGGAGGGTGGGGATGGAGAAGTGCAGTTCAAATAGCAGAGAACATCACTTGGAATTTAAACCCGAGCACCTCCAGGGAGCACTGTTGGAAACACCATGGAAAAGAAGAGAAGGCCATACCTTACAAAGTATGCATACAGTCTTGCCAGTTCCTTCCAAGGGAAAACTGGTAGGAACTCAGCAGCCAGTCATGGAGGGACCTTCCCCTACAAAGCTCAGATGGGCCTAGTCAGGGGGAACCTTTTCATTGGCTCCTGGGGACAGATCATTTTCCTGATGTGCCACTTATATGTCCCCGGTGCTATTTATATCACACCAGCTAATGATGGGACAGAGCAATAAGTATTACAGAATCACTTTGTTTAAGCTATGTCCTTATAATATTTCAGAAGTACTATATTAGAGAAAAATGTGTATTTTTTCCTACTGCTTACCAAACATTTCTTCCTCTTAGGTTGTGTGGTTACTTTTTGGAAAGAGGGATCAAGGCTGTGACATTGGTTGTGTCCTCCAACCATCTCTAACCTGGATTTTACAACTATGTTGATGAAGGACCCAGAATGCATACAATGATTTTTGTAGCATTTTGCTAACAGAGGATTTACTGTTGCCATGGGAATTCATCATTTTGGAGAATGTCCCCTTCACTGGCAGCAGCAGGTCTGCAGTGACAGCAGTTGCAGGGCAGCTTTTGGATCTACTAAAAGTTGATGAATTGAGGCAGGATCCCACCACTTTCTATTACTACTGTGGATGAGAAACTATAAATCTGACCTAATGAAAATTCTCATTCTTTTCATTGTGATACTTACTCCTATATGGTGCTCAGAGAGCTGCACAGATCCCACCCTTCCTACTTCCCAGCCTGGAAGATGGAGAGGACAAAACCTTTCCCAGGGTCCTGGCCCCACTATGCATCTGGGCTTTCCTTTTACTTTCTTTGTGTCTACAGACTTCCTCTCATTTTTCTCTGCACCCCTTTCCCCTCATTTCATGTCTGTCATCCCCCCATAAAAAACAGACGTCACTTGTCTTGAGTTGGGAACTGGCCATTTCTCTATAACCAAGTCTATATGTCTGATTCTCTGAATCTGGACATGAAATTTAGCAGGTTCACCTTCTGAGCCCATTTCTATAGCTTCCTAACTCGGCAGAACTGGGCAGCTAAGGGTTGCCTGGCATGCAAGACACATGTCCTCACTCCAATCCGCAAAGCCTTAAGTTTCCAGTTCCTCTCCAACCTAAAAAGGTTTCCTGTTTGTTTTTTCATCTACTGAATTCTGTGCACATACCCCACCATTTTGACTTAGTGCTTTAAGTCTCTCAAGCAAATGTTTAAGAAACCTCCATTTCCCTTTCTTTAGTAATCCATTAGAATAAGCCCCCAGAGCTGTTGCAGGACAACCAGGAAAGGAAGATTTCTGCCAGAAGCAGAAAGACTGCCTTTTAGATCAGCTACTAGAGCTTTATGGCATTTTAATCTTTTGTCTGGTCTTTGTCCTGGGTTCTTGGCATGGAGTTTCTAAAACCACTGAATTTTCCTCAGCAATAGGGGTGTCTTTGTTATGCTAATAAGGTCACTTAATGAGCTCCTAGATAGCTTCAGGATGGTCATCAGAAAGATCTACCCTGTAATTAAAAGGCAGGGGACTTTGGGCCAGCCTGACCTCTGGGAAGAAGAGGGGACTGGAAATTTAATTCAGTCACATAGTCAGTGGTTCAACCAGTCATGCCTACATGATAAAACCCCAATAAAATCTCTGGATGCCAAGACTCAGTGGAAGTCTGTGGTTGGTGAACATATAGATGGCCCAAGAGGATAGATACTGTTGCCTGACACCATGCAAGCATTTAGAAACCTTTACAGCACTTTGATATTGCCAAGACATTCAGGAATCTTTACTAATAAAAGGGTAATTTGCTAATTAGACCCGGAGACCTTCTGGGTAAAGCCATGGTGGTGGGGTCAAGGCAGAGGCTGTCAGGGGCGATCAGGCCAGAAGGGGAGGGCAGTTGAGGGTGATCAGGCTGGCAGAGGCGGGAGGGGGAGAGAGAAGCAGTTGGGGGCAAGCAGGCCAGCAAGGGGGGTGGGGAGGGGGGTGAGTAGGCTGGCAGGTGGAGTAGTTAGGAGCAAGCAGATAGGTAGGCAGGTGAGCTGTTAGGAGCCAGCAATCCCAGATTGCGAAAGGGATGTCCTATTGCCAGTTTAGGCCCGATCCCACAGGTATCAGGTCTAAACCAGCAGTCGGACATCCCCTAAGGGATCCCAGATTGGAGAGGGTGCAAGCCAGGCTGAGGGACACACACACATGCCTGCACAAATTTTGTGCACCGGACTACTAGTGGAAATATAAAAGTATTAGACTGTGACCATTTGTGAAAAAGAGATCCAAAGGCTCATTTAGAAAATACTGCTTCAGTTGGTGTGATCAGATGGAATCAGAAATTAGTGTTAAAAGTGTGAGAGTTGCTTATCCTGTCCCCCAGTTTGAAAAGAGGTCTTAGAGTTTACTTACTAGGTGCTTCTCATAAATTGTGGAGGGTCACAGCAAAGATAAGGTTTTTTTCTGTCCTTACACTTTCCTCTTATTCCTTTAGAGACTCATGGTGAGGTGAAATAGATGGGCATTATTTGGGGCACTCTGAAATCCACAGACACTTTGACATAACATCCCCCTGCAGCAATAAACACTACAGTCTTGCTTATTCTGGACCATAGGTGTATTTCTGGTATGTTCCAGGCAGCTTCCTAGGCCTGGGAAAGACACTGAAGAATCAGATATGGTTGCCACCCCCTAGAAATACACAGCAATGCTGCTGTACTGATGGGGAACATAAAAATACATTTTTGGGAGGGGCTCGCAATCTGACTCTACCTAGTTAATCAGTATCTTTAAATGCCCATTCTTGCTAGCCAATAATTAACTCACTACTCCTTCCTTAATTATCTGGTCTTACAAGACCTGTTTACTTAAATATTCCCATTTTACAAAGGCCATAAACCATGAACAATACACAATCCCCTGAGGGGTTATCAGCGCTGGCAGCATAGGTGTGGTATCACGACCCCCATCCTGACACATGGGGCTTTCTGCAAAGCCCAAGAAAGGTCTGGAAGCCTGATCCATATTTGGGGAACAAAGAAACCAAAGGGTTTATAAAGGGAAAGCTTCTTCCATATTCAGGGGCTCAGGATTAGGGAACAGGCTCCCCTGAGTCACTGTACTAGTACTTGTGAAACATCTGAAAATAAATGGGTTTATCTTGAACCTCCAAGTACTCCTATGTATTTTTCTGTCTCCTGGTAAATTCTGTAGTAGTACAATATGTGAACTTTGAGCTTTTGGCTGATAAGTAAGTGAGAAATGGCAAACTCTGCTCAACTCCTGCTTTGTTTTACTAAATTATAATTCTACTAGTGGCCCAGCCTGGACCCTCTCCAATAGGGGACCCCTTGAGGGATGGCCAACTGCTGGTTTAGGCCCAATCCCACAATCTGGAACGGCTGGCTTCTAACTGCTCACCTGCCTGCCTGCCTGATTGCCCCCAACTCTGCCTGCCTGACTCCCTGATTACCCCTAACCTCCATGCCTGCCTCCCTAATAGCCCCTAACTGCCTCTGCCTGCCTGCCTGATCACCCACAACTGCCACGACCTCCCCTGCCACGACCCACCTCCTCCTCCAGGCCCCACTTCCTCTGTGTGCACAGCCATCTTGTGACAGCCATCTTGTGACGACATTAGGGTGTGATGCGTGAGGGTGTTGGCAAACTGCGGCTCTTTGGCTCTTCCACAAAATACCACAGCCTAGGCGAGTCTATTTTGAAGAAGTAGCATTATAAAAAGTTTAAGTTTAAAAAATCTGGCTCTCAAAAGAAATTTCAGTCGTTGTATTGTTGGTATTTGGTTCTGTTGACTGAGTTTGCAGACCTCTGACCTAGGCTATTTATTATTACTATAGATAAATCCAGTTTCAAGGAAAGGTTGTTGGGATGGCTCCTATTAAGCAGCTGTCATGTGGGAAGACTGAGTGACCTGAGGAGGGTTTCCAGTATACTAGTATACCCACTCCACCTCCTTTCTTCCAGGACAGAGCCAACTGAGATGGTGGGACTCCTTTGCAGAAGTCAGGGGTTTGAGGGACATGTGACACCTGAATTTAGCTCCTCTGGTTCCCTCTCCCTCCTCCACTCAACCCTCTCCTATAGGAACACTGCAAACATAGATGATCCCAGTGATGTCTGAGCAGATGTCCACATTAGTTAACTGTAGACCTGTTTTTCAGGATCATTCCACCACTTTGGGACACCAGCTGCTGAACCCAGAGACCCGCCATGAAACCACACTTGAAGCAATGGAGACAACGAATGCTTTGTGGGATATTTACTTGGGGGCTCCTCTTCCTGGTGATTTTCATTTACTTCACCAACAGCAGCCCTGCTGAGCCTGCGCCCAGCTCCCTTGCCTTCCTGGAGACTAGGAGGCTCTTGCCCATGCAGGGGAAGCAGAGGGTCATCATGGGTGCCATGCAGGAGCCCCCCTGGCCAGAAAGCGTGAACACAAACAAGGGGCTGCTGGACGGACACCCCACGGGGCCTCGCGACCTGCAGAAATGGGCCAAGCTGCAAGATGGGGTTGAAAATGATGAAGAGTTCTTTTTATCTCAGATTGGGAGAAAATCCCCAAGTACCTTCTACCCAGAAGACGACGACTACTTTTTTGCTGCCGGTCAACCAGGGTCTCACAGCCACGCTGGGGGGACACTGGAGCCCCTCGCCCCCAGGCACGCCGGCCGGTGGAAGGGGTGGCTGCCGGAGAGGAAAAGGCACCGGCCCCGGGGGAGCAGCCCCGCGCTGGAGGAGGGCGAGGCAGGAGACAGGCTGTACTCCTCCATGTCCAGGGCCTTCCTGCACCGGCTCTGGAAGGGCACCGTCTCCTCCAAGATGCTCACCCCGCGCCTGCAGAGGGCCATGAAGGACTACCTGGCGGCCAACAAGCACGGCGTGCGCTTCCGCGGGCGGCGCGCGGCCGGGCGGAGCCGGGCGGCCCTGCTGTGCGCGCTGCGGCGCCGGGTGCGCCTGCGCACGCTGGACGGCACGGAGCCGCCCTTCGCGGCGCTGGGCTGGCGCGCGCTGGTGCCCGCGGTGCCGCTCGGCCAGCTGCACCCCGGCGGCCTGCGCTCCTGCGCCGTGGTCATGTCCGCCGGCGCCATCCTCAACTCCTCCTTGGGGGAGGAGATAGGTGGGTGTCCTGGGGGGGGGGGGGGGGACTGGTCCCTGTCCTGGGCCCGATGCGGGTCAGGGGCTGGCGCTTTCCCCACTTTCCTCTGGTTCCCGCGGGCGGGGCGGCCTGGGCCGAGCACTGGATGTTTGGAGGTTAGCTGGAGACTGCTTTTCTGTAGCCAGGACTGAGTGAACCAGCAGAGGCATCCTTTGGGCCGTTTTAGAGCAGAGCTGTGCTCCCCAGAGCTGGGTCCAGGGGGAGTGGAAGGCCGGAGTGCCCCTACCTTTTGCAGGGAGACCCTCCAGCTTCCTTAGAAACTATGCTCCCTGTTGTGAGTCTCCCAGCCTGGCCCACGGAGGCTGAGGAACCCATAGTGCGGTAGAGCTATGAGCAACAAAGCGGTGAGAAAGAGCAGTCCCCGCGGAGTTAAGTGAGTCTGCTCCACAGAGATGTCCTTTAAGACAATCACGGTTAGTCTGGGACCAAACCGCTGTGGTGGGCTTTGCGGAGGGATTCCTGCCCCACAAGAGATCTGACCCTTTGGCACAAATCTGCCTTTCAGGTCACGGCCAGTTCACCTAAGCAGGGCGCTTCTCCAAGTTGGTAAATAATAGGTCCACACCCGCCTCCTCTCTTCCCTTATGAAATATCTTTAAGTCCATGCCAGAAGCCTCGGAGAACACTGCTACATAGTTCCCAGTCAGGGATGGGATGTACATGTAAAGAGAAGGGGCTTCTTTTAAGGACTTGCTCCTGTGATTGTGGGGACTGGCAATTCTGAAGTTTGAAGGGCAGGCAGGTAGGAAATTGAGGTAAGAGGCAAAATTGAGCCTGAGATCTGGAGGACAGGTTGGTAGGTGGAAACTCAGGCTGGGCTTCTCTAATGCAGTCCAGATGCAGAATTCCCCCTTCAGGAATGTCAGTCTTTGCTATAAGGACTTAGACTTCCCTCTCTGCCCTGGCCCATTCTATTGCTGCACTTGTGAGCAAGCAGCTTGGCCCTGTAAGCCCATTAACTCACTTAACAACCTGTGTGCTTAGCCCTACGGTGTGCCGGCTTCCGCATTGGGTGCCAGAGAACAAATGTGAATCACACAGCCTCCGCCTGAGATGTGAATATGAAGCAACCGAGCTTAATACATGCTCACAATTCACTAACCTGAACGTGACCTTCAGGGGCAGCTGTTGTTTGGGACCCATTCGCTGTTCTGTCCTTTAGGAGTGCTTGATGTTCTGACCATCTTAAAATGGCGTGGTACCATCGTAATCAAGCTCCACAAGCCAGACCATCTGAATGTGAAATTTTTTTAAAGTTAAAATAAGCAAGACACAAGTCTACACTTGAGATCTGGGGCCCCAGAGTCCCTGTGTTGACATTACTGCAGGCCCATAATAACACTGTCCATGTGTCAAATAAATGTGCAGCCTGCAATTGATTAAGAAAAGCAGTGGCTAGAAGTCCCTGGAGTGCAGTAACACCACAGTTCCTTCTCATTTCCAGGGCCATTATTAATAATGTATGAAGGAATTTAAGTATTATGCTGTAAAGCAGGCCGTAACTAGCTTCTGGTTTGGTTTTGCTGTGTTTTAAACACCTCTGCACCACTGCTGCACATTTGGAATGTTCTTGCATGTCAGGGAGAATTCCCTTGCCCCTTACTGTGGCAGAAATGCCTTTGACCAGGGCCTCATAAACTCTATGCAGAATTTGGAATAGAGTGTGAAAAACACTGGGCATTACATGTTTTGGGGGAACGTGAAATGTTATATCTTGGTTCATTTCTAGTATCCAAATGTAATTTATATTTTCTGCATTCATATATGAAACTTCATGATTAGAATTGTCTGACTCAGTATCTTAACTGAAAAACACAAGTTTTTAAATTCTTTATTGTTTTGTCTAGGTTCTTTAGAATCCAGTTTTGTACCTACCATCTTAAGAATATGTTATTATAGCATAATACAAGTTATAAAAACAAAATGTTCTTCATTTTTACAAGCTGGTATCACTTACCATCAGCCTTGGCACAGTGTGAGGTGGTGCCTTCTCCTTTCTGCTCACCAGGAATGTGAGAATGTGCATGTGCTCATCAACATAGAGTTGTTAATGGCTCTCTTAATAAAAATGAAGTCACTAGCAGACCCCTCCATGCAACTTGGAATATTGGGGCATGCTGTACTATTTAGCTAAATTCATCTTGAGCTCTAAAAATCCCTCGCGAATAGGCTAAGTGAAGATCAAAAGACTTACCACATAATTTTATGAAAATCTGAGAGCAGAGCTATAAAAGTACCTGGGGCTAGCTCCACGTCAGCACTGCCAGGAGGCCCCTTCAGGCAGAACTGTGCCTGAAGGCTTAGCAGTCACACCCCAGGCTCCAAGGGAGACTCAGTGAGCCTTGGGTTTCCGAGCCTGCTGGCTCCCTCTAGCTCCCTCTGCTGGTCCTATTGACATGCAGTCCTTTTTCCAAGTTCTGTTAGCCTGAGTCATGCCCTGTAATTGTTTTTAAGGACATTGTAGCAGTTGTCAAAACCTTCTTGTTGAATATGTCATTGAAAAGAAAACTGAACTGTTTTGGAAATGTGGAACATTCTTTCCTAGAGACTCACTGAGATCTTTTTTCACCCATACATATAAATAATAATTAGCGAGATCATCTGCCAGCAGTCCTGTGGAAACTCACTACAGAGGAGAAATGTCTGCTCTGAACTAACATTGGTGGCCTCGATCTGGGCAATCAGGATCTGTGTACTTAAATAAAAATTCTGGGAAGCCTGCGGGAAATGGGGGAGGGCCTGTATAGGGAGTGGAGCCCCTGTTTTGTTACCTTAAAAAAGCAAAAAAGATAATAGAGTTCTTTAGCAAGCATTGAGTATTTATTGATCTCTATCTCTCTGAGGCCTGATAACTATGCTAGCTACTAGTGACACAAAGATGAATAGGGAACAGACCTAAACTTCAAACCCTCTGCAGTCCGGTGGGGAAGACAGACTATGAACAGGCAGTGGTTAGGAGAAGAACTGAAAGAGGTGTAGACTGACAGGGAAGACAATGGAATCCTAGCCCACGGTGAGGGCTGGTGCCTGGACAGAGAGGAGTTCAGCAGACTGCCCAGAGAGGGGAATCCAGGCCAGAGGTGCAGCGAGCTGCAGGGCACCACCAGTGGGAGGAAAGAGGAGAGAAGGCTGGACAGGTGGCAAGAGGTCAGCTCCCAGATGTTTTTGAGCATCATTCCCAGAAATTAGACTCCACTAAGTAATTGTTATCATAGGTATCACTCTGTGCGGTGTTTACAGCAGGTTCAGTACCAAATGCTTTTATGTGTTAACTGCTGGAAGCCTTACAGCTCAAATAGATAGTTATTCCTAGATATTTTTATGGATGAGGCAATGTAGACACCTGGAAGTCCCAGTGGGCAGAGCCTGAGTTCCATCAGACTTCAGTCTGAGTCTCCAGGAACTCCAGCTCTGACCCTGGGCCCTTGGTCAGAGGCACTGCAATGTTTGAAGCAGAGGATTGATGGGTTGACTTTTTATTTTAGGGAGATTGCTCCAGAGCCTAGATTTGAAAGCATGAAGATATAAATGCCATTACAGGAGTCTGGGAAGAGGTGAGGTGGAATCTGAAAGAAACGAAGTCCCTAAGGACTGCAGGCTTTTGCTTGCTTAATGATGCAGATTTCGAGTCCTGAGTGTGTGGGGGAAAGAAGGAGGAGAACGAGGACCTAGTGCCCAGGGCAGGACAGTAACGGAGGGCTCCTGCACCTCCTGGCTGGCTGTTCCTCAAAAGGCTTTAATGTTCCTTCAGTGAGTGCACTTAGCCTTTTCTCAAGGTCAATGTGAAATGGCTTTACCCCAGAAAAGCCTTCTCCAGAATGATGCTTTACTCCCCTTGTGCTTGCTGTGTGATTTCGTTCTTCTCTTCTAAATGTGAACAGACAGTGTAGTTTTTAAAGCACATTTATCAAGGTGATGCACACATAGCCAAGCAGAGGTTTACAAAACACAGCTGCCTGATGGGCGTACTCTCAGCTCATCCTCCCCATTCTGGTCACTGACAGCTTTAAGGAAGGTCATCCTGACAGCAGCAGCTCTCCCTCCAGTCCTCCACAAAACGGGCCTTTTAGCTCTTGACTCACACCACTGCTAAAGGTCAGCTACATTGCATTGCTGTGCCCTATGCCTGTGAAGTCATTTGAAATCTTAAAATGCACCTCAGTGGAACTCTGGCATTTAAAAGCTGTGATGTTTTCAAGAGTGATGCAATGAATTTGGAATTGCCTGATTAATTTGAAATGCAGCCACTGCTTAGGTGCCTTGGCTGACTGACCTCAGTCTCAGCCAGAGCTGCCTGGGGGCAGTGTGGTCCAGTGTGAGACCTGCGCAGTAGGAGAGCTGGCGCTGCCTCGCCCTGGGGTCCTGATCACCTCTCAGTGCCCAGAGCCTGCCTCCCTGCTTGCAGCCTGCACTCCTGCTCCCCACTGCCAGGCAGGTTGCCTTAGGTCCAAGTTTACACAGTGGGGGTCTGCTTACACTTGGGGAAACTCTCTCAGGGATCCATGAAGTGAAAACTATTTTTATAATAATACTCATAGTAATGTTGACATTGGCATTGATGTTGCAAAAGCATTGGTGAATAAAATGCTTCTTAATACGAATCAAGGCATCAGACCCAACTCTGCTGGGCATGGCATTTTTGCTGCCAAGCTCAGCAGTAAAAGCGAAAAGGGCCAGCTTCACCTACAGATGTCCTTGATGAAACAGTAAAAATGGTTGGCTTTATTAAGTCTCAATCTCTGAGTACCTGTGAATTTGGGGCCCAGGGGGAAATAACATGAAAAGCACTGAACTGATAGTCCCAGGTGATCATTGCACAATTACAGAATTATGCACAGGTGAATCATCCATTTTAAGAGCAAGATAAACTGATGGGTTTTAATGTAACAGCATGAAAAGCTCATTGATACTGTGTCACAGTCCTCATTGTGGCCACCTTTTATAAACTATTACTTATCAAGTTTTGATGAAATATCAGAGAAGATTATTCCCAGTATCCTGCAAAGACTTCAGATGTTTCGTCCATTTCTAGTGATACATCTGAGTCCTTATATACTTCAACTAAAGCAATACATTGCAGCAGATTGTGTGCACCAGCAGCGAGGAGAAACCAGCTGTCTTCTGAAAAGTCACTCATTAATGAGATTTGCAAACATTTAAAACAGTGCCAGTCTTCTCATTGTTTTTTATTTTGAAAATGTATTTTTCATAAAAATCTATTTTAAATTAAATTAATAAACATTTTAAGATTTTCTTTTTTACTTTCTAATATTGATGTAGTTCAAACCTTTGGGTTGTCATAGATTTTCAAGAATGTAAAGGTGTCCTGAGACCAAAGAATAAGCTTATAGAGCAGTGGTTCTCAACCTTTCTAATGCCACAACCCTTTAATACGGTTCCTCATGGTGTGACCCCCAACGATAAAATTATTTTCTTAATTTTTTTCTTTTTTAAAATATATTTTATTGATTTTTTACAGAGAAGAAAGGAGAAGGATAGAAAGCTAGAAATATCGATGAGAGAGAAACATCAACCAGCTGCCTCCTGCACACCCCCCACTGGGGATGTGCCCGCAAGTAATGTACATGTTCTTGGCCGGAATCGAACCTGGGACCCTTCAGTCCGCAGCTTTATCCACTGAGCCAAACCGGTTTTGGCTCTTTCTTTTTTTTCATAAAATTATTTTTGTTGCTACTTCATAACTCTAATTTTGCTACTGTTATGAATCGTAATGTAAATATCTGTGTTTTCCGATGGTCTTAGGCTCTACAGCAGTGGTTCTCAATCTGTGAGTTGTGACCCACAGGTTGAGAACTGCTAGCAGGGTTGCCTAAGACCATCGGAAAACACAGATATTTACATTACGATTCATAACAGTAGCAAAATTAGAGTTATGAAGTAGCAACGAAAATAATTTTATGGTTGGGGGTCACCACAACATGAGGAAACCGTATTAAAGGGACACGGCATTAGCAAGGTTAAGAACCACTGCTCTAGAGAGTGGCAAACTTATTATTAGGAGCCAGGTAGCAAGTGTTCAGGCTTGGTGAGCCACAGGGTCTCCCAGCTCTACTCTGCTGTTACAAACAATAGATACACACCTGAGTATGCGTCATAGCACAGCTTTGTTTATTAAAACTGGGAGCAGGTCATAGTTTGCTGACTATTGAAAAATTTTCCCTAAAAGAAAATTGCAGGACTTTTGTATGACTTAGCCAGGTACCCTTTATGCATTGTTTGTATTCCAAAAGAGTGTTGATTTGGTGCTCACAACTGGAATATGAAATCTTCTGAATCCAATGCTTGTCAAGAGAGGCACCTTTTGTAACATGGTTTTAATGGTGGCACACATGCCAAGTTTGTGCTACTTAGGGGGTAGGAGAATCTATCCCAAGGAGACTCCGCAGGAGGGGACAGACTCAAGTGGAGAATGGGAGCTGCTTTAGGGACCTCAGAGGAGTATGGTCACTGTAAAGGTGGCATGTATCCACAAGACTCTTTGGCAGATCAGACAGGCATAATTTCACCTGACTCCCTCACAAATAGGCAGTGTTATTGCTCCAAGTTGAACCTGAAACGTGCATAGGAATTTTGAAGCTAAAGACAGCCTGTGGAGATTCCCTTATTGCTGCTGATTAAGTCTGATTTAAGCTGGTTTCTGAAAAGTTAATAACTTGGCACAGGAACTTTCAAGATGTGTATATAGACTGCTCCATGGAAAGGGAACAAACATATCTCCCATTTCCATCCCTTAGTCAGGTAAGCCCACTTTTCCTCTAGCTCTTGTCTCCCTTGTCAGTCTCTGTGACACGGAGCTGTCTTTTGGGACCTCAGAGAACTTGGGGAAGTCTGACTTTTGAGTCAAATGAAGGGAGACATGGCTCTGTTGTGGGTGAAGCTCCATGGACCACAGTGTGCCCGATGGACTACAAGTAGCATTGGTAGCTGGTGCCTCCCTTCCTCCTTGGTGAGGCCATTGCTGGAAAAGGGAGAATGTACTAAGATTGCTCTCATATGGCTCTTCTTGGCATTGTTAGCAGTAGGTAAAGATGCACAGAAACTATAGCTGGTTTTCTTTTTTAAGCACAAACCAGCACCCAAAAATGGTCACACTACAGTGAAGGCTGTGGCTCTGACTGTGAGAGACACACTTGATCTTGGTGCAGGCAGTGGCGTTGGAGGCACCAGGAGCAGCCTCCACTCCGCATCAGTGAGAAGACATGGTGAGCAGCCTGTTTGTAGCATCCTGTTCCAGTAGATTCCATCTTCACAAAGTTTTGGAGTCTTTAGAAGAATAGCTGCAAAAAGCATGTCTCCTTATAAAGATGTGGACACATACCCATCTCTGAATAAGATGACACAGGACCTGCTGTAATTGCATGGATTGTGCCTCCATGCTGCTCTGCCTTTGGGCAGCATCTCAAAGAAACAGTACGCTGAAAATGTGCCCATGGGTCTCTTCATTGTTGGTGTCTGATTAGCTTCCGGTTTTAAAGATTCACTTTTAAGATATTATACTAGATTATGTTTATTCTACAGATAGAAAAAAAATTGAGTGTCTTTTATGTGCCCCTAGATTCTCATGATGCAGTCTTGAGATTTAATGCTGCTCCCACCCGTGGCTATGAGAGAGATGTTGGGAATAAAACCACTGTGCGCATCATTAATTCCCAGGTAAGATGTATGGAATGCTTGCATGGATGTGTGCTCTATAGGTATATAGTTTAACTGGATGAGTGAAGTTATCCAGAAAAATCATGATAATGATTTTCCTTATTTCTATGGGTCTTATAATTATAAAGAAGTAATGAGGGAAAAATGTAGAGAAATGGGAATTTGTAACATGAATAGGGGGAAAAAATGAGTAAATAAGCTCAAAAAAAGTATACACACACACACACACACACACACACCCATAGACTTATCAAGTTGCATCTTGTGGATTTCAAAGGATGTTAAACTTACAAGAAGTAGTGGCCAAGAGAAGGCAGGGGATGGAGGAGAGAAAAGCAAAGGTACAAAATTCAAGGTTAGTAGCATAGCTTGAAACTTACTTATTTGAATTTTTTAAAAATGAAAATGGATTATTGAAATAAAAATATCTTTTTTCTTTGTATTCTTAATAAGAATATCTTCCAAATTTGTAGCAAAATTATTCTCAGAACAAACTACAACAATTTCTAGAGTTTCAAACTATATAGAAAAATATGAGGTGGTGAATGATTTCTGATGAGTTGCTTGAAAAACAAAAGATTCGATTTCTGCCTAGTACCCTGAGCCAGGCAGCACACAGTAAGGTAAGAAACAATTACCACATTTCTTTCATTTATACCCTGTTTCCCCGAAAATAAGACAGTATCTTATATTAATTTTTTCTCCCAAAGTTGCACTAGGTCTTATTTTCAGGGGATGTCTTGTCTTTCCATGCGCTAGGTCTTATTTTCGGAGGATGTCTTATTTTAGGGGAAACACTGGTAGATGCCATTGATTATAAGGTTCACCATTCATTTAATAACAGCCTTTCAGAGCGGAAGAGCTAACCCTCACCAAATTAAAATACATGTCACTGTAGGATACCTTTTAACTACAGAAACATTAAAATGTGAAGAAAAAAAGTATATCTTAGAAACTGAAAAATTACACCTTAAAAATGAAATCAGCACATTTTTTCTCAAAACTGTAATTTAAAAAAAAATGATTGATAAGTGAGATTAAAGAACTCATCCAGAATAGACAGGGCCCAGAGGAAACGGTCACGCAGGCTGACTCAGGATGACCGGCTCGCTGTGTCCCCCTTGTCCTAGGCTAGCACGCTGAGGCACATGCAGAATTCAATTCATCAACATCTGCAACTCTCTCCCAAGTTACCTGTGAAGACAATTGAAGAAGGTTGTGGGGCCTAGGTTACCACTTTCAGGAGCCGATTTGATTCCACTAGATATGAGTACAGTGCTGGGTGAAAATGTAAGATCTGGGGGATTTAAAAACAAACAAAAAAACAAAACCTAATTTCCCCAAACATTTTTTAGGTACTTTAGCATGCAATGCCAGCCTCTCTCCCTCCCCCAAAGGAAAACAAAGCCTGAGGGACTTTTGAAAAATGGATCAGAGCAAGGAAACACTTTTCTCCATCTCTTTTAAAAATATGATTTTGAAGAACCAAACACTTGCTTTGAAATTATTTTTCTATGTATTTGCAGATTCTGACCAACCCCAACCATCACTTCATTGACAGTTCATTATATAAAGATGTCATTTTGGTGGCCTGGGACCCTGCTCCTTATTCTGCAAATCTTGACCTGGTAAGTCTTTATTTGTTGCCCCTACCATGAATCTAGTGATCAGAAGGTGCCTTTGATTACTCATGGGAGTAAGTCAAGGATTGAGCTTTGATAGACATAATGAAACTGATCATGAGTGATGTTTAAATACATGTGTGCCCATGCCATCCTGTTACCCACTTCCCATAATGTGCTTGGTGAGCATTGTCCATCTAAAAAGGGCTTTTGCTCTGGAGGATTTTTTTTCAATATTCAATGTCCAAATGTTCAGAAATTCCTACTTACACTGGAGGTTGGGCTGATTAAACTCAATATGTTCCCATTATGATAGGGTTACATTACCTTCCAAACAGTTACAGACCTTTTGAAATAAATTTGAAGTGCTTGTCAAGAAAAATCTAAACTTGTGTATCACCAGTTTGTTATTTAAATTAACCTGTTACTGACTTTCCTTGAGTGGGTCACTCTGGCTTCAGCTTCTCAACCTTTTTAATCTTGTGATGCATAAACAAAACCATTGCTAGCATCAAAATATAGGAAGTTATATGCACAACTTTCTGGCAAGTCAATGACTATCTAAACAAGCTGCCAGTTACTCCCGGTAAAGCCTGGGATGAAGAGCCAGTGTCGCTGGAAGATGGATGATAATTTCACTATGACAGATGCTATCCGCTGTGCCAATGGGTGTCTTTCTATTTGTTTCACTGACTCGAGAATGCAGTCTTGTGGGGGGACTCATCTTGGCTCTTCCGTCCCCATCCCCACCCTGAGGTATCTTTCTAAAAGAGCTTCCCAGGGTTGATGGGTTCCTCTGAAAGGAGTGTTTCTGTCACTGTTCCTCATGAAGCTGGACCTTTACCTAGGGTGATTACTAACCACTTTAACCAGGATTGCAATTAGAACCACCTGGAGAGGACTTTTCAGCTATATCTGTCAGAGCCCATTTCCAGAAATGTAATGCACATCATTGATGAGTGTTTTCTGAGAAAGCCTTTTGGGCTCTCATTTGTGCCCTCCATTGAGAATCAACCATCACGTGAGTGTTCGAACTTTTCATCTTCCTTCCTAGCCTGAGGTTCAGATAGCTCTCCTGCTGTTTGAGGACAGACCAAGAGCTTCTAGTTGTCGAACCTTGTTTATTTCTCTGTTGGAAGCATCCAAGTGCAAGGCACAGGGCTATGCAGCCCCATGCATGTGAACATCATAATGCTGAAGTCTGAGTGACAGGCTGCTGTCCAAGGGCCTGTCCTTCCATTTGCTGTGTCAGGATCGAAGGAGGGGAAGAAGCAAGTCCCACATTTCTCTGCTTCCTTCCCAATGCCTCACTTAAGATGATCTGGCCCAGCCATCCTCAACATCTTCAAAGCAACAGAACACATTCAGCCATGGCTGTTCCCCGGGATCTTACTCTAGACCAGGTGTCTCTCTGAGGGAGCTTGGAGCCTGAGCCCAGCCTCCCCCTCACACACCTTCTCCAAATTCCATTTCATGGTGACAACTGACACGCTTCTGCAAACATTTTTTTAAATCAACCTATAGTTTTTTTTCATAAAATATTTTATATACAATCAATGTAAGCATAATTTTGTTGAGTATTAGCAAATATCTATAGTCATGTATCTATCGATACACCACAATTAAGAAATCGGATATTTTCATCACTCCAGAGTCCCATGTGCCACGCCCATGGGTCATCCTAGTTCTAGCCCTAGGCATTAACTGTTTTGCTTTCTGTTGCTTTAGCTTCTATTCAGAAAACATCAGTTTTTAGCCCAGAGGTCAGCAAACCACAGCCACAGGACAAATATGGCCCTGGTTTTAAATAAAGTTTTGTTGGAACAAAGCCAAGACATTCATTTGACATTTTGTGTAGCTGCTTTCCCGGCACAGAGGCAGAGCTGAGTGATTGCCACAGAGACCATAAACCCACAAGCCCTTTGCAGAAGTCTGCTGAGTGCTGCATGCGCATCTGTCTAGCGGGACCCCTGATATCTGTCCACATTCCCTCCTCCCCACTGAGTCCCTCCATCCTTCCCTCCAGTGCTGTGCTATGTCCTTTGCACAGTGTGGCTCTCAAGACTGGATTGTGTTGATTTTTCCTCTTAGTGGTACCAGAAGCCAGATTACAACCTGTTCACACCATATGTCCAGCATCGTCAGAGGAACCCAAATCAGCCCTTCTACATTCTTCACCCTAAATTTGTATGGCAGCTTTGGGACATCATCCAGGAGAACACCAAGGAGAAGATTCAGCCCAATCCACCATCTTCTGGTTTCATTGGTAGGTGCATTGGTAAAACTGGGAAGAGTGGTGTGCAGGCAGGTTAGCAATAAATACACACTCATGTTATACAATAAGAGCAAGTAAATGTGGTTTTAGAGGGGAAATAGACCAGCTGAAGAAAAGAGAAATATTCCTCTCCAGTTTTTATTGCCTTGTAGCCCACTACCCAAAATTCCAAGAACTACTTTATTTTCTTGCAGTTTTATGGGTCAGTATGGGTTTGTCTGAGGCTGCTGGGTTGTGTTCAGTTGCTTCACGGGATGGCTTTGCTCCATGTCTCACCCCAGGGGAGTTCAGCCTCAGCTGGGACTGTTGGCCTGAGGCCACACATGGCCTCTTACCTGGTGGACTCAGAGTAGCTGCACTTCCTAAATGGGCTCCAAAGTGGTCCAAAACATAGGCAATAGAACTATCAGTGTGTTACAACAGAGGCTGGAGATGTGCACAGAATCACCGTGCTATGTTCTGGGGGTCAGAGCAGTTGAGGTCCTGTCATCTTCAAGGAAGGACACACAGAGCCCACCTTGGCCATCTCTGATCCACCACCCACTGCCACACACAGTGCTGGCAGGAGGACTGGTTAGGGATGAATGTGTGACTACAGGACAGTGCCAGGTGGCCCAGGTTCTGGTGAGACTAATTTTAGGACTTTAGGCAGCTCTTACCACAAGAGTCCACTAGCTCTAACCCAAAACTAGATTTGATGTAACAAGATTATCACATATTTTTAGCCAGGCTTTGATCCTCAAAGTTGTGGTCTTACCCCATTTTTTTTTTTTACCTATGTTTCAGTATATTGCCCCATTATTTCTTTGATTTCACTGAGTTGAGTAACATTAAAGAATTTCTTAGATCTCCTTGACAATATGAAGGTAGTAATAGAACCAAAGCTATTAATTTCATGCACAGGGAACTGTAACCTTTTCCCCTGGTTTCAGTATCTTTAGAACTGCACCTTGGTGTGTGCTGTGCAGTGCATCCCTGTGTGATAAAGGAGGGCTGAAGGAGCTACACTGGCTTCCTCGTAGATATGGAGGACATGCACAATATCTGAACTGAAACTTACAGGTGTTGAAGTGGGTTTTTAGTTTTGTAATAATGTGAATATTTTATGCAGAATTAAAGACAAAATTTACACTGTGACTGCATATTACTCTTAAATTTTTAAAGCCAAGCCTTTGACAATCCTTATTTCCAGATCAGTCTTGAAATCCTAATCTCTTTATCTTTTGTGCAATTCCATTAGATCTGTTGATTTAGGGGGAAAGGGTATAATTAATTTCTCTGCAAAGAATGATGGAATAATGCAAGACAGCATAATAGTGTGTGACAGGAGTTTAATATCTTTTTCTTTCTGTTGCTTTCTCATGAATACATTTGGCTAATATTTGATTAGAGTAAAAGTTTTAGTGCACATTGGTGGGCTGTCAGATACGCTTATTGTGATATAGTTTGAGATATTCAAGTTAGCTAGTCACAGCTGGAAAGGACATTTTCCTCAGGTGTTTTGTTGAAAGAAATCATGCCTCATATATATGGCCAGCCTCCTGTCATAGCTGTTGACTGAGAATTTGGAGTTTCCCAGGCTGATAATTGCCTTTCGGGCTCTTTTACATGAAAAAAGGGATTGCAGTTTGAAGAGAGAGTGTCATTGGGTCCTACAGACTGTGACATCTCCTCTGACATTTACTAACTTTCTAATTATGGGCAAGTTGCTTAATCCAGTGCCTCTCCATATGCATATGTGAGAAATGCAAATAATAATAATAAAACCACCTTTGAAAAGATGAGTTAGTGGGCCATTTGCAGATGTTATTTTCTAGTTGTGCTCTCTCCTGTATGGCAGCTGTTAGCCACAAATGGCTATATACATTTAAATCAATTGGGATTGATAAAAGGAAAACTTCACTTCCTCAGTGTTACCAGCCCCATTTCAGGTTTTGTAGCCACGTGCTCCTGGTGGCCACTGGCTTGGGCAGTTCAGACAGAGAACTCTCCATGGTCACAGGCAGTTCTGCAGAGCACACTGTTAAGTTTGACCAGAATGAAAAAGAGCAAGTCGCTAAAGCACCATTGTTCTCACTGGGCAGGCTGGATCTGTGGGGATGTAAGTGTGTACTAGTAGAAGGTGTGGCTTGACATCATTGACTCTGCAACTTTTGTCCCTTGCCATAGCTAAGTGCGAGCACCTCGCTAAAGATGGGCAGGAGATACCACCTGGGCAAGCCATGCCCAGCAGAGCTGTCACCCTCTGCATCTCCCGCTAATGTTACAATCTTTGTACTCTTACTGGATCTTGCTAGAAATATGCTCAGCGCAGAGACTGTTCTTTAATTTATCTGACTTTTTAATATACCAGTAAAACAATGTCACCCACATTGGAATCTATCTGCCAGAAGAATTTTTAAAGGTCAATGAGTGTTTTCTTCACTTATCAAAGTGTTCTTTGAACATGCCTTCATGTTCTAAGGCCATGTTGAAAAGCTATTGACTTATTGTCTCGTCACCTCATCATTTCCAAACATTCCAACTTGTAATGCCAGTTACTGAACAAAAGAACCCATGGTGGAGCCCGTCCACGAGGTGAGAATGTCTCCATGTGCTGCATTTCCAGGTTCTGCCCAGGTGCACGGTCAGCAGGACATGCTCCTTCAGAGAAGAGCAGCACACAGCCCCTGGACTGGCTGTTTTGCTGATGAGCATAGGGTTCCACCTGCAAGTGAAGCAGGATGAATCATTTTCTTTATTGATGAGCTGCTCATCCAGCTGGGAAGAAGCTACCTCACATTTAATGTCTTCCGTCTCTAAATCCACTGCACACATTTTCCTTAAATGTGTTTATGAATCAGCATGTGTGAAATAGAGGGACTCTAAAAGTTGACTGTTTTGCCCTGGCTGGTATGGCTCAGTTGGTTGAGCATCATACTGTGCATCAAAAGATCACTGGTTTCATTCCCAGTCAGGGCACATGCCCATGCTGTGGGCAAGACCCCCAGTAGGGAGCATCAGGAGGCAGCTGATCAATGTTTCTCTCTCTCTCTCTCTCTCTCTCTCTCTCTCTTGTACGTCAGATGTGGGGAACCTTTTCTTTGCTGAGGGCCATTTGGATATTTATAACAACATTCATGGGCCATACAGAATTATCAACTTAACTAGCATGCTACATTTGGTCAAACATTTAATTAACTCATCCCTACTGCCTTGGCAGGGTCAGACCAAATGATTCCTTGTACAGGCTGGATCTTCCCTACACCTGGTATAGGAGGAAGGCAGTGCAGGTGGAAGGGAAAAGTCATCCACAAGTGGTAGTTGAGCACCTCCTGTGGACCAAGTGCAGGCAGACCATAAGGCTGTGTGATCAAGGAAGCCACACAGAGGTCCTACCCCTGGAGCTATACAAACTTATAAATGCAGTGAAGGAAAAGAGCAGGAGGTATGGGGGTCTGGGAAATTTGCCCATCTTTTGGTTCCTGCGCTGGAACATGGTTGGCATCAGCAGCAGGCGGCAGAGCACAGAACATGGTGGGCAATAGCCATGGCAGGATGGTGGAGCAACTGAGCAGAGATGCCAGACCAAGACAAGACACTGGTCACTGTCATTGGGGCGAGCCTCTGGTGGTTACTGAAAAATTTTTGCTTCCATGTGCCGCAGTCCCACCGGGTGCTTGCACCTGCTACTGGCACCAGCCCCACTTGCACCCACTGTCAGCACTGGAGCCACTGCTCATACCCGCTGCCGATGCCCAGCGCTGGCCCCAATTACTTGGCACTGTCAATGGGTGTGAGTGGCAGCTGCTGGCCCCGATTGCCCCTCAGGGCTTCTCCACACCTCCCTGCTGCTAAGGGGCAATCAGGGCAGCAGCCACCGCTCGCACTCACTGATGGCGCCAATTGCTCCACACCATCAGTGCATGGGAGTGGCAGGGGAGGGAGGTGCTGCCAGCAGACAAGGGACCGAGTGCTCTAATGGGAGGGGCTGCAGTAGGGGTGTGGAGGATTGGCTGAGGTCAGCCCCTGTGCCCACCATAGCCTCACAACCCACAGTTCCTTTCAAGATGTATGAATTTGTTCCCTGGGCACCTAGTTGTAAATAATTCTGCTTTGAACATTGGGATGCATACATTCTTTCTGATTGGTGTTTTCTAATTTTTAGGATATATTCCTAAAGTGGGACCACTGGTTTCAAATGGCAGTTCCATTTTTAATTTTTTAGGAAAATCCATACTATTTTCCACAGTCTGCATTCATACCAACAGTGTACCAGGGTTCCCTTTTCTCCATAATCATCACCAACACTTGTTTGTTGATCTGTTGATGAAAGCCATTTTGATAGGTATGAGGTGATACCTCAATTGTCATTTTAACATGCATCTCTCAGATGATTATGACTGGGAATTTTTTCATGTTTCCTGGCCTTCTGTATGTCCACTTTGGAGAAGTGTCTATTTAGGTCCTCTGCCCATTTTTTAGTTGGATTGTTTGTCTTCCTTTTGTTAAGTTGGATCAATTCCTTATATATTTTGAAAAGTAATCCCTTATTGGATGTATGATTGGCAAATATATTCTCTCATGCATTGGGCTCTCTTTTCATTTGTTGGTCATTTCATTTGCTGAGCAGATTTTTATTTTTAGTAGTCCCATTTATTTACTTTCTCCTTAATTTTTTTGCCCTAAGAGATGTATCAGTAATTTTATTACCATTATGAGAAATGTCTGAAATTTTGCCGCCTATGTTTTCTTCTAGGATTTTTATGGTTACACTTAAATCTTGTATCTATTGTGAGTTTATTCTTTTGTATGGTGTACATTGTAGACTGGTTTCATTTTTTTGCATGTACCTGTCCAATTTTCCCAACACCATTTATATAAAAAATTGTCTTGACTCTATTGTATGATCTTGCCTCCTTTGTCAAATATTAATTGAGCATAATGACTTAGGTCGATTTCTGGGTTCTCTGTTCTGTTCCATTGATCTATATGCCTCTTCTTGTGTCAGA